ACCCACCATTAGTTTCAACTACCGTTAGTTTTTTTTTATAATACCATTATACCAATATAATTTTGTGTATAATACCAATTACCAATATTCGGTTTGTTGCCTCGACTTTATTTTATTTTATTCTCAACTCTAAAACACTGGCTATGATAGAAAAAAAAATGAACACTGGTCAATATTAATGCCGGGTTTATACAACATTTGCATAAGTCGTAATCATAATCACACTCTTAATCATCGTTATAATCACAACACAATTTTAATGTGCGTTTATAGAACATTTTCATAATCATAATTTTTATATCAGTGAAGTTAGGTAACATAATTAAAGGCTAAGTTCATGGTAGATATCAACAGGTTTATAGGAAGTGGATAGTTTAACTTATGATTATGACTATGATTGTGATTACGACTATGTAAATGTTGTATAAACCCGGCATTACTTGCGCAAAGACCTAATTATCACTTAAAAAAATGTATCATTTCCAACTTTCAAGAAGTCTTGAATTCAAGAAATCTTGCAAGACTTTTGAAATTTCTTGCATATAGTCTTGTCTTGTCTTGTTTTTGAAATTTTGAAAGTCTTGAATTTCTTGCAAGAGTCTTGGTCTTGCAAGACTTTTTCAAGACTCTTGGGCAACACTAAAGATAACACTTGCTAACAACAAGAAAATTACACAAATTGACCAGGGTTTTTGGCTATAGTTTAGAAATTAGTCAGAGTATTTGGATAAAGTATCAACTTGAATAATAATCTCCTTGGTTAGTATCTAAACTGACCAATTTTCTCTGGTTAATTTATTAGTAGTAAGATAACTTTTTTACATGGATTGTGATTTTTATTGTGAACTGATATATTTTCAAAAGTTGTTTCAGAAATATTCTGATTACTAATAGCTAACCCGGCAAACGTTGTTTTACCATATAAATATTTTTTATGGCCCAACAGTCCTTTTTATTCACGAGGTATATTAATATATACATAATTATTGAATTACTAAAATAAATCATAAAAGCCACTATTGTCACTAAAATAATCATAAATTAATAAATCATAACATAATAAAAATAAAAAATTTTGTCAAAATTTTTTTTAAAAATTTGGGGTGGGCAACCCTTATCACTTAGGGGTATAAAAAATAGATAGGTCTGAGAATAGATATACTCTAATTTGAATGTAAAAATTCAAAAGGTCAAAATTCGTGACTGTAATTACTGTCAAATAGTAGAAAAAGTTAACAACTCCAAAATTAACGAGTTACGTCAATTTGGCCTTTGATTAACTTCCGTCAAGAGAAATTGTGGTTAGAAATCAAAAATCTATTGTTTTGTATTATTAAATATATAGCTAATTATTAGTCTTTTTTATGGATACAACTGACTACTGCAAGCTGTTGCTAGAATATTAATTTTAATTGTATTTTATTATACATTGTAAATATCCATAATTTTTTTAGTATAAAGCTTCATTCATAACCTCGAAATTAGTGGAATAAATTAGTGGTTTCGATCACACTTTATACTTTTTAGTTTACGATCATTCACAATGCAATGTCTTAGACCTCTTTCAGTCGAGGACGCTGTATCCCAGACGCGCGTATCTCAGATACAGAAAAAGCATGTAGTTAAATTGTACCTTACACATGGCATTCGGCGACGCATACAGTATCGCGCGGCAGAATTTTTGAATGTGGAATGTTCAGCCGCCCGGCGACGAAGGAGTATCCGGGATACAGAATTATCATAGTAGCTTATGGACCTGTTCAGATTTGCATACTTTTGCGATACAAAAAGTTCGATTTCACAGGCGAATAGAATATTTATTGCAGGTTTATTATAGTAAAATAATAATTCAGTAGTGAGAGTGAGTTCGAACAATAAATCGTCCCATTGCTGCCAAGTCACTAACTTACTTTTTATTACTTCCGAGAAAAATACGTCTAAAAATGAATTGCATTGCATAAAGATGTTATAGTTAGTAACTATTCGGTATTAAAATAAAACATAAATAGCCAGAAATCGTAGTTAATGACTTTTGCAATCGATTCTCCGCTTCAAAACATAGTTAGTGATTGAATTTGGTTGTTCGGAAAAATGTTAATTAGTGACTTTTGGCAGCAATAGGACGAAATAAGAGAACCATGGATCGTGCTGCTTTCGATAAGACCTAATTATCACTTAAAAAAATTATCATTTCTAACTTTCAAGAAGTCTTGAATTCAAGAAATCTTGCAAGACTCTTGAAATTTCTTGCATATTAAAGTCTTGTCTTGTCTTGAAATTCAAGACAAGAAATTTTGAAAGTCTTGTCTTGAATTTCTTGCAAGAGTCTTGGTCTTCCTTGCAAGAGTCTTGGTAAAAGTTGTATTTTTTTAAACGGAACACCCTGTATATTATTACATTTTTAGTTCCTGCGATTAAATTAAAGGTAAATTTGATTAAGGTTTATTATACTTAAACCTTACCGTTTTTGAAATATTTTCAATTTTGTGAAATTGCAGTAAAAATTTTAAGGCTTCATTTCTCCAAGGGTATCAAAGTTTTTAATACTAAATATTTACTGAAGTTTATTTATTGATCAGTTATTCTGTTACAATAATAAAAATAATACTACCTTATACAGAGTGTCTAAAAATTTATTTTAAATAATTTCTAGCTTTAAACTCCAATAACTTCTTTAATTTAAATGGAACGCCCTGTATATTTTAGGAGAATCAGATGCACAATTTAATTGTCTATCAAATTGTATTATACCGTATGATCGAAAAAAAACGGCGTCCAGTTGGCTGGGAAATGAACATCAATGACATTTCCCATATAAATTTACATATAAAATGACAGCGATCTTCATTCCATAGCCATCGCTGACGCCGTTTTTTCTCGATCATACCGTACCATTTTTTACCTATCCCTTCAAGTTTTCGTAGAAAATGCATTTTCTTATTATTTAGACCTCATTTATCAATATACCCATGGAATATTGACATTTTAGATTGTTTTTAAAGCAACAAATGTACAAAATGTACAGGCTAGTAATATTATCGATTTTAACAAAACGATAATATTACTAGCCCCATGTATAAAAAAACTATTTAAATCTTTATAAAAGTGTATAACATTAATTAAATATAACACCATTATTTCAGCCCATATAATAATTAATTTCATACTTAATTGTGTTCGTTAATAAATTATTCTAAATAAATGTGATTTTGAGTCAGAAATCAATATAATAATAAGTTATCAAAATAAACGTCTCCGTTGTTATAAATAAGCATTTATTAAAAAATGAAATATCATTTTTAAGGTGTTACTTTTTACCACACTATCTAATACACATACAAAATTCAGTTTTTTAATATTTGGGGCAATTATTATTAATCAACGCAAACAGTCAGTTAATGTAGTTTGAATACTGGAATCATATTAATTGGTCCTCTTTAACAAATATTTAAACAGTTTTTTTTATTTTTTAATGAAATAAACGAATTATATCGACAATATTAGTATCTGTACTCTTTTAAAAATTTGGTACATCTTTAAGAATAATTTAAAATGTCAATATTCCATAGGTATATTGATAAATAAGTTCTAAATTACAAGAAAATATATTTTCTACGGAAACTTAAAGAGATAGGTAAAAAATGGTATAATACAATTTGATAGACAATTAAATTGTGCATCTGATTCTCATAAAATATACAGGGTGTTCCATTTAAATTAAACAAGTTATTGCTGTTTTAAGCTAATAATTATTTAAAATAAATTTTTAGACGCTCTGTATAAGGTACTATTATTTTTATTATTGCAACACAATAACTGATCAATAAATAAACTTCAGTAAATATTTAGTATTAAAAACTTTGATACCCTTGGAGAAATGAAGCCTTAAAATTTTTGCTGCAATTTCACAAAATTGAAAATATTTCAAAAACGGTAAGGTTTAACTGTAATAAACCTTAATCAAATTTACCTTTATTTTAATCGTAAAAACTAAAAATGTAATAATATACAGGGTGTTCTATTTAAAAAAATACAACTTTGATATTTTTTACTTATTTGGGACACTCTGTATCTTGAAAATTATTTTTAAATTGTACCTCTAATAGTCCTTCATCGAACCCAAGACTTACAATTTGTAAAAATCTCATTGTTTAGCTACAATACTCCGTGTCGTATGTGGTGAGCAACCCTGTATATGCCACAGCAGAACGCACTCTTCAATATTCATTTTATAATACAATAATACGACTGCACCGCACTGAAATTTGTTTTAAACTGGAATATTATTTTGTACCTAAAAAAAGTATGCCAAAAGAGTATCTCGATAGTATTCGACTGTAATTCTGTATCCCGTATACAGAATCTCGCATACAGTATCCTCATCTGAAAGTGCTCTAAAAACAAAATGAAAATTAATAGGATATCCTAGCAACAGCTTACGGTAGCCAGTTGTATGCATAGAAAAATTTTTTAGAAAAGAATTTAGTTTATGAAAGAATCAACTTTTGATTTCTAACTACAATTTCTCTTGACACATGATAATCAAAAGCCAAAATGATATTCCTTGTAAATTTTGAAGTATAATTAATGGAAATGTTAAAAGTTTGTAAACTTTGTCTACTAAAATGACCACCACTATTTTTGACGTTCTGAATGCTTACATTCAAATTACAGGAACAAACTTCTACGCTAATTGAAACCACTAATTTATTCCACTAATTTCGAGGTTCTGAATGAAGATTTAGTCCAAATACAGTGATACTTTTAATTAAATTTTAGGAGAAGTATGAGAGAGTTATTCCCTTTAATAAGATTTAAGGATTTCAGGCCAAAAAAAAAAAGAAATATTACACAGACCAAACCCAAAAACCTATGAATATAATACATATAATTCGCAAACGATTTGCTAAAGAGTTTCTATCATTAAACCAACCTTTTTCTCGATGATTTTCCATCTCTCATCCTCAATTTTTTCTTTCTTTTCCAGATCTCCGGCGAAAATGACGAGGAGGAAAATTTTATGGCCGCCCATATTGACTTTTCTCTTCTTCCTCTCAGTCACTGGTGAGTAAACAATGTAAATATTAAATTTATTTTCGTGCCCGGGGCTTCTTCGGGGTTTCCAGGGCGCGCGTTTTTTATTTTTCCTCTTTCGGACTGTTTTTCTCGATCTGGAACGGTCCTGATTTATATCGCCAGGCAAATATTCGCGTTTATAAGTGTTGGGGATACATATTTTTTATTTATTTATTGCGGGGGCGCGGCGTTTGAAATATGTTCGATCAACATTTGAAGAAGAACTATGGATGAAGAAATTTAAGATGTATCTGTTCAATAAGCTTAATGTATACTTATGTACAGTGTGTCTCAGTTTCAATTTCCTTGCTAGATATCTCTAGTGTTGACAATAAAATTTTTCGTACAAATTATGATAACTTAATAAATTTTTTTTATGAAAAATATAATTTCTTTTTTATGAGATACAAGGGAAAATTGAAAATATTCTATTGTAGGACAACATATCGAATAGGTAAATTTTGGTTCTAAATTATTTTTTACATAGAATACAAAGTTGTACAGTGTGGCGTCTCTCATACGACGCGGATTCTAATTTAGAGCATTTTTTAAGAGAGAGTTCTACAGAGTGCCCCTAAAAAAAGTTGCACATCAAAGTTGGATTTTTTGTAATGGAACACCCAATATATAAATTGATTTTAGGATTCTAGGAGGAAAATAAAGGTGAGTTTCATTAGAGAAGTATATGACTAAAATGTAAGGGTTTTGAAATTTGGTTCTTCATTTTTGGTTCTTAGATTTCTAAAGATGAAGAACAATTTCTAAATTTCAATAAAAGCTACCTAAATTCGAATTTACTCGGCATAGCCTAATATGTAGTTAAAATAACGATTGTATTTTAAATCAAATTAAAACTTGAGCCCAAAAAGTTATACAGGGTGAGATAAAATTAATATTGAACATTGGTCACCATTAAATGCAAATTACTCTTTTATTTTAAATAAAAAACACAATATTATTCGATATTAATTTATTGAGGAATTCATTCTCTTCAAAATACTATTAAGGTTGTCTACCCCTCAAACAAATATTTTCCTGGATATTTTCATTTTTTTAATTAATGTCAGTAGATCTTTATTATTTGTTAAAATCTAGGTGGCTGTGATACGTCTGACGTTACTTCAACAGAGAGCTGTGAAATTAGTTCAATTTTAACAAATAGTTATCATTTTGTGTTAGTTAAAATAAGAAAAGTTCTCAGAAATTTGCAAAAAATGGAAACTGATCCAACTATGATCCAACAATTATTGTCTAGAAATACATGAGAGAAATGGTTGTGACTGCTTTTCGAAATAGAACTTCACATATGCCATTTAACAAGAAAAGGTCTTTTGAAAAGAGAATTATTTTAAGCAGTGAACAGGAAAGGAAACATATTGGCCTTTTATTTCATCTAGCTAATTTTTGTGTCACAATTATACGCTTATATCTAGTTTTAATTCTGTAATAATTAAAATATGTTTTAAACGTGTATCTTTTTAGTACGGTTGAGTATTTTACTCCTTTAATTTTTGTTAAATTATCAAAAGGTATATCACATTAGCCCTCTAGATTTTATCAAATAATAAATATCTACTGAGGCAAAATCATAAAAATGAAAATATCTAGGAAAATCTTTGCCTGAGGGTAAGCAACCTTACTAGTATTTTAAAGATATATAAATTCTCCATTAAATACCGGTATAATAGACTGGGCGTTCCATTTAAAATAAAGAAGCAACTTGCTTTTAAAAGTGGCCAATGTTCAATATTTATTTTGCCTCACCCTGTATAAGTTTTCGGGACAAATTTTAATTTTGTTTTTGACATACAATGGTTATTGTTATTAAATATCAGGCTATACAGGGTAAATTACAATTTAGGTAGCTGTTATTGGAATTTAAAATTTATTCTACATTTTCACAAAATGTGAAATATGTCGAAATCCTTATACTTTAGGCATATGTTTCTTTAATGAAACTCACCTTTATTTTTGTCCTAGAATCCGAAAATCAATTAATATATAGAGTGTTCCATTACCAAAAAAAAACAACTTTGATGCGTAACTTTTTTTGAGGACACCCTGTAGAACTCTATATATTTTTATAAAATGCTTTCAATTAACCCACAAACTCCTTGGAGCCTCCGCGTCGCCGTCGTATGGGAGGCGCCACCCTGTATATTTTCAATATTCAAAACAAAAGTTGCTACATTTTTCAGAAATGTATAACATCATAAGGAAACCTGAAACTGATTTTTTTCTGAATAGTTAGTAGTTAGACGTCCTGTATAGACTTGCAAAGTTTCTTAACCCTCGAAAATGACAAAATATGTCTTTAAATCCAGTCTCTCATTGCAAATGTCCGGCTAACCTCAAAACCTCTTGTAATCTAGCTGGGAAAGGGCCACAAATTCAGATGCTATTATTCGACAAATCTAATTCAGGAAACTGAACATTCTGAAGTTAACTCAACGAAGACAACGATTACGAAGGACCTCTACTGCCCATTCCTGCTAGGGATGGAACAAATTAAAAATATCGATATTTGCCTCTTCAAAAAAGTTCTATGGGTATTTTGCTCGGTATTTTGCCACTGTAAGAAAATTTACAAAATAAAATAGTTATTTTTTTGTAAACACTGCTGCGTTAATCCAACGGAGACTAATTGTCAGAAGTGGTTAAAAAAATTTGCCTAACGGGCAAAAAAATGCTTAACGTTTCGGGAAGTATTCTTCGTCTTCGTCTCTTCTCGTCGTCGGAAGCAAAAAAAAACACAAAGAACAAAAAAAAAACTATTTAAAGGTGCGTATTCATTATCCGCACGAACGAACGAACGAACGAACGAATGTTCGCTAGTGGTATGGACGGGGACCGTACGATAGAACCGCACGAGAAAACCGGAGGCATTTGTTGGCGAACGCCTTTGATGTACCGACTCGAAACGGATGGTCGAGCGAACGAACGCACGAACGGCCGCATGCGTTCGGTCCCCGTCTAAATATACCGCACTTTCATTCGTTCGTTCGTTCGTTCGTTCGTTCGTTCGGATAATGAATACGCACCTTAAAATATCTAAATGCAACTATTCGAGAACACATTAGTTTTTTTTAAACAGATACGTCTATAAAAACCTTTGACGTTCTGTTAAAAATACAGTGTTTACAAAAAATAACTATTTTAATTTGTAGATTTTTACAGTAGTGAAATACCCATAGAACTTCTTTGAAGAGATGAATCCGCCACAGAGGTATAGACATTTCTTATCAATGTTTAAGTAAATACATTATACAGGGGATTTTAAAAAACATGTGCCATCTCTCGTGAGGAGATTCCTCACGTAAAACTAAAGCAGAGTTTACACTGTGTCACTTTGGATGTACAACCAAAATGAATCACTCAGATTGAATTCATCCAAATTGAACATCCTTGTTTACATATTTTCATCCAGTTCGTAGGAGTTCACTGTTTCATCTTTTGCAGGCTGCCACCTCTCCCAGTGTTTTCTATATCGAGGTTGGCCGCACGAGTCGGCATCGGCTGTTTACATTTTTCACTTGCCGTTCAATCTGGATGAATCAACGGTTCGTTGAACGCTCTTTCAACAAAAGTAGGAAGACCGTCAACTTGTTTCATCGCTCAATTTTAGTGTACACTTTGGATGAAACAGTGATGAAAGGCAATTTATACTTATCACTTTGGATAATTCATCCAAGTTGTACATCCAAGGTGACAAATGTAAATGAGTCTTTAGATTTATTTTCATACCATCATAGGTCCAATTCTGCTTTGTTTCGTAGTTACAGGGTGTTAAAGTCTTAATAATCTTTCGAATTATTATAATTTTTTTCCAAGTACTTTTAGTGATTCGAATGAAATTTTGAGGGTAAAAGTGCTACATATTTTAATGCTAAAAAAGTGTCGATAAATTCATCAAGAAAGCATATGGGTTATCGCTGGAATATTTTTCAAAAAAAAACATGTGCTCCACTGACTTTTTTTTATATTAAAATTGTGTAGGAGGTTTAATGTCAATTAAAAGTTATCTCTTGTTATTTTGCTGAATTCGGCCTCCTTGATGAGATAAACGCAATTTTATTAATCAACAATTTATAAAATTAAAATTAAAATAAAATTAACAAATTATATATTTTACCAAATTTATTATTAAATATTATTACTATTAGTTATTATTACTATTAGTCCATCCTACAGCAATTTCAATAAAAAAAATAGCAATTTCAAATAAAAAAATAATGGTATTTACGATAATTACAAAAAACCTATGTTATATAAAACTATGCATTTCCATACTCATATTTATAGGAACTTTTTTTCATATTTTTTGATGAGGAATCAATGAGTACTTATTTAAAACTTTCGCAAGTTAATGATATTAAAATTTTTTTGGTATTAGACTTGGACCAAGACAAATTAATCAAATTGCGTTTATCTCAATCTTTATTATAATCTCATCAAGGAGGCCAAAATCGACAAAATATCAAGAGACAACTTTTAATCGGCATTAAACTGCTTACACTACTTCGCTAATAAGAAAAATAAAAGTCCTTAGCGTACATGCTTTTTTTAGAAAAATATTCCAGTGATAACCCATATGCACGTCTCTGGTGAATACATTGACACTTTTTAGCTTTAAAATATGTCGCATTTATAGCAACTTTTACCCTCAAAGTTTCATTCGAAACGCTAAACGTAGTTGGAAGAAAATTGTGATAAATCGAAAAAATATTCAGACTTTAACACCCTGTAGCTACGAAACAAAGCAGTATCGGGCCTATATGTTAATATGAAAAATAAATCTTCCTTAAGAAATCTCCCCAGGAGAAATGACACATGCTTTTTGAAATACCCTGTATACAAAAACATCTCTACTACCAGAAATTAACAGAAAAATTAAGTTAGCATGGAGTACTTATGGAAAAAACTCAAGATATTCAAATCTAGAATTCCACTCTATCTAAAGAAGAAAACACTCGACCAATGTGCACTAC